ATAGTAGTGACTCCAATTAGTATTCCCCATGCAACTTTTCTTGACCTATGACATACTTTCCCCTGATGACATTCCAAACACATCATTATTTTCGCGAAACAGTGCTACAGAAGGACGAGAACTCCTGCCAGTGCTCTTGTTCTTTTTCTTCTTCTTTTCTTCTTCTTTTTCTTCTTCTCTTTCTTCTTTTTCTTCTTCTTTGTCTTCTTTTTTCAAAAAAATCTAAAACAGTTGCTGAGGCAGGTCCAAGTACTTTTTCATGAGACACTTCAAACTCCTGAGAAACGTAGGGGAATAACGGCAAACACAAAATTATTGGGAAAGTTGCGATGTTATGTGAGTACAAAGACAAAAAGAACCAATGAATCTTTAAATTTTCCAAAAATCATACTCTTAACAAATTACTCATAACATAACAAATAAACAATTAATCATACTTTATAAAGATATATTTTTTATTTATTTCCACCAACTTTCCCCGAATCTTCAGGTGAAAGTATGTTTTGGAGTAGTTTAAGCCTTTAATAAAGGATGTTTTGTTAGTTACTAATTAGACTGATACAGTTGGTAAGAATTAAATTCATTCTAATAAAACTTCATTCATCACTTCAGGCAAAAAAAGACAATATTCTTCCCAGGTCAAGAAGTTAACCAATCATCAATTACATTAAAATGTAGGTTAGACTGATTTTACAGAGGTTGGCATTGCTTTAAAACTGTAGTGGCCTATTTTGTAAGTAATACCCCCTCTACTTGCATTTCTGCAAGGCATCGGTCAAGGAAAATTGTGTGGTTATTGGCAATCTTTCTTGAGGAAGGAAGCAAAAAATCATCTCAGATTTTATGAGATGTCTACAGTTAAAAATGAAAATTATAGTAAAAGTTCACTTCTGCATGTTTTTTCTTCTTTCGAAAATGGTCCACTCAAACTAGAAGATGGAGCAAGTTGCAAAATCAAAATAAGAGTAAAGTGGATAGAATGAACAAGACCACAGAATGATCAGGAGTTGAAGTACAATCACAGTGTTGGGGCTCTTTTGATGTATCCTTGCAATAAAAGGGAAAACATTGAAATTATCATGAACAACTTTTTCTCCTGTGAATTTTTCTTATATATTTTTTTTTCATCAGTTCATATCAAAATGAACATGTTACCGTAGTAAAAAGAGGTGTAGGTAAATGATTTTAGCGACATTTTTGTAGAGGATAAATAGTTACCTTTGATTCCAAGTAGCTTTCAGGTCATTGAAATAATTTCTGTTTCTGTGGAATAATTTTTCAACGTGTCTTTTGTGAAGATATCTAAGGGATACCTACACAATTTTAATTTTTAATAATATTTAAATTTCAATGTCTTGTATAGGAAAGCTAATTTGCGTGGTTTAATCTCAAAAATGAAGGAATTAGAAACAGCCCGAACGTATTAAACGAGAACGTACGTGGGTTGTGTGTGTGAAAGCACTAGTAGATTTAATTGTAGATTTGTAGTGGAGTGAAAGTGCAGCGTCGAGCGTCGTGCGTTGTGTTGCAGGAGGGCGGCGCGCGGTGCACCAAGTGCGGGCGGTGCTCGTTCGCGTCGGCGGCCGACCTCCACCGCCACATGCTGGACTGCGGCGGCGACACGACGTGGATGCTGACGATGCTGCCGGCGGCGTCCCCGCGCCACGCGCGCTCGCGCAAGTGGCGGCCCTTCGGCTCGCGGCGCCGCCGCCAGCAGGGCCGGCGCGGCATGAAGCGCAACATCCCGTCCACGCCGCCCGCGCGCCTGCACCACTACCGCCCGCGCACCCGCCCCACCGACAGTGAGTGGCCCTGGCCCGCGCGAGCCCCGACGGCGGCGGATGTGCGACCCCGGCGACATGGCCGGGTCGAATTCCACTGCCGTCTGATCGGGGGCTTTTCTTGTTTTTTTTCGATCTGTACCTGACGAATTACAATACCCTAACGAACGGCAGACTGCGCCCGATTTTTTCCCATTTCCCTTCTTTGACCTATCATCATCACTTATCTACTACACGTACACTTACATGCACTGCACCACCGCACACGTCGGGAGCTTGCGGAGAAAAACTCCACAAACCGACTTGTAGGTCAGAGTCAGATGTGACGTTCCAACACTACCACTCCTGGCTTATAACATGCACTAAACTCTCTGAAATAATGATCAAAGTACTTGTTTCGGAAATACTCGAAAACTCGCCGGGGTGTGGTATCTCATCCCGATTTTGTTTCTACTACGCTCCCAGAAATGTTCCATGTGGAGGTCAACCACACACCTTGAAGTGAGGTCAGATGATAAAATCGTATGTACACCTGTGTATGTAAAGAATTGCTGAAGTCAAATGTAATAGTGCAACCATTTCTTGTTTTTTTTATGCCAAACTGTTCGTGCTATTTCTTTGTTTACATCTGAAATCTAAACAGAAAAGAGAAAAAAGTTACAGTGAAATTCTGAAAAGAGACATACATGTACGTTTAATGGCATGCACAATACCAATAATACACACATACATTGACTAACAAATATATAACTAATAATACATTAAAATACCCAATCTAATAAACCTTTATAAAAACATACCTTAATCAATCATGTATGTTCTTGTTAAGGTGTAATAAGATCAAAAATTTACAACCTATCAATACAAAATTCCTTCATAAAGCACTGCTTACTGATGCTCTTTTCGATGATATTTTGCTGTAAATTTTTTTAAACAATGTTAACCTATGATTGCTAAAATAAATGTGCAGAAAGTCTTCTTTTTTTGGTGTAACATGAATGAGAATATTAATTTTTTGTCTGGTAATTTTCTTTTCAATATGAAGATCATGAATCGGTGATGCAAGGAAACTTACTTTCTGTTAATTTTTCAACTGTAAATAAAGTTTAAATCTATATTTTCCTAATCCAAATTATAGTTAAAACTGCATTGTATTTGTTATACTCTTTTCTTATACCCCTTCTTTTTTTGGGAAGCTTAATTACTTCTTGAAATACAAATTGTTTTATGAAATTATTTCTTGAAATACAAATGTCACCATCGGAATGTTATTATCTTCAGAAGTATGGAGTATGCCTCCCGAAAAATATTAAGTTATTAAAATTATTTGAAATATGTTAGTTCAAAAATATTTGAAAAAAAAAAACAAGTAAACCTCTTAGTACTCAGACACTATAAATCTGAAAGAGTATTTCATGAATTATACATTAATTGTATCTTTTTTTTGTTCTCTTTTTATCAAACTGCAAGCCCAAGAACTTTTGATATCTTCAGTTTGTAATATATAAATTATGTTTTATTCTTCAGGTGATACCATTCAACGTATGATAGCAAATCTACCGCCAAAACGATCAACACGACGTGTCATCCAGTTTAATGAAGATGAATCAAAAACACGCAACCAGGCCAATATTCATAATGTAAGTAAAATTTTAGGGTCTGTCTTGGTGGAGAACTCTTATAGATTTTCATTTATAATCTCTTGTTAATTTAATTTCCTGTTTAGTGTGATGAAGAAAGAGAAATTTTAATGTGGCCTGCCCAAAAATTTGAAATAAGATTTACTTTAACTCATAACATTCAGATATTTGAAAAATACTATAATAACAAGATGCAGTCAATTGGGACTGTGTTATCACTTGTGTATCTTTTTATATATTTTTACTGAAACTCTGAGCGTGAAATTATTTTCAAATATTTCTATAAATGTTAATGCAAAAAGTACTTTCTTGAAAACCTTTTTGTGTGTAGGTAGGTGGTAGTTAAAGTTATTGATTTCTTCATTGCTTACTATGTGAACACAAGTTGTGACTAATGTATAATTTTACTTCCTTCCACAGAACCACATTTTGAGGAGGAGACTGAAGGTAAACTATTTTATTAAATGTTGCTTGCATTGATCTTCAATTTTTTCATGGTTGATTTTTTTTATAACTGTTCTTTTGACTCCTTTGTAGAAATAATTTGAACATTCTATAGATGAATATCTTTTTATTATTTCTTTTATAACACTTAGTTTTAATGTGGCAAAATGCTTATTAATTGTTGCCATAGCAAGATCCTGGGAAAAATAATAATGGGTTTGGGTAGACATATTTGTGGGATTGGAAAAAAGATTTAATTACTAAGATAGTAAAACTTTATTTTTCAAGGAAGTTCAGTGCTATAGCGTAACTTCAAATTGATTTTTATGTCTCAGAGCCAATTTTTAGTCTTTCTAGTAATATCATTTCAATTTTCTCAAAAGAATAGGTCCTTTTAAAATTTTAAACAGAAGTATTTAATTTATTTAATTATGTATCAAGTTAAAGTCATTCTCAACAAGATAAAAGATACTTTTGGTTTCAAACAAGTGAACTCTACTTTCTTAGATTTGTTAGGAGTGAAAGAATGTTGACTACAGTTAGCCATGACTTCTAGGCTGTCCGGGTGACAGATAGTCCGTGTCATTGGCAGGTAGGCCAACGTTTACCTGTCATGTCACAGGCTTCTTCAGGGTAGTGACACAGTAAAGCTCCGCCTCCGGTATTATATCTTTTTCAGTCTAGGGGCTAGAAGTCATGAACTTGAGCCACGGAAGCCTACGTGTACAAATAGCCTTCTCAATTTCAAAAAGATTTTAAAGAAATTTTAAAACTTTTTAGGTAAATTTGACAATGGCTAAACTTAAATTCTTGGCTATCCGGGAGAAGCCGCGTCGTTTGCTGAGAGGCTGACGTTTCACCTGACATGTCACAGGCTTGCTCAGGGCAGCCTGCCCTGAGGAAGCCTGTGACATGTCGGGCAAAACATGGGTCTCTCAGCCAGCGACGTGGCATCTCCCTGATAGCCAAGAATTTATGGATTCAAGCCGCTGAAGCTTACATGTGCAATGCCCACTTCATCTCATGGGAGGTCACACTTCTTGCTGCTGAATACTAGTAGCCACAAAAGTTCTTCTGTTGGTTCTTCCAATGTCTTATATTAAAAAATCAGTAAGTCTATGTGTCAATAGATATTAATTCTTGAAAAGTTTACATCAATTATTGTTTGTGTGCTTAGTAAGTAAAGCAAATTTTATTGTGTAGCAATAGACTTGAAGATGGGGGTGCAGTAAGTCTCGAAACGTAATTGAAGTTGGTCAAGAAAGTGTTTCATGTTGACTTTAACTTGATATGTAATTAAATAAATTGAGTACTTGCACTGTCTAAAATTTTTAAGGGACCTATTATTTTGGAGTAGACAGTACGACAGTGTTAAGTTTTATATAATATAATTTCTAACGGCCCATTAAATCCACTGCCCACAACTGAATGTAATGATGTTTTTGTGGTCTTCAGGTATGACGGTTATTTGTCTGAAAGAACATTTATAACTATTTAACAATTTGAAAAATTAGCTGATTGGTTATTGTCAGTCAAAATATGTAACAAAGGTAGACAGTGGTCAGTAAACATCCTAAGGTTTGAGTTCTCCTCCCAACTGCGTCAGAGAAAGCAATTGGTGCAAAGTTCTGAAGTATTCACCAATAAAGTGGTGTGTATTGGTGTAGGGTGCTGCAATTTCCCTTTCAGAAAGTTTTACAAAGAATGCATGTGTGACTTGAACTTTTTATTTAACTTGCCAGAATGTTGTACAAAGTTATACCTGCTCCTTGGAAGTTTTTAGTTAATGGTAAGTCTTTTTCCAATGGACTTCCATAAACATATACTAACCTTCAGTAGAATTTTTACAGATAAAAATGTGAGTTAATATGTTTGACTTCTGTCGTAGATCTCGGTTGCTGCTGGCCTTTCCCGTCTGGCCCAACAGCGTAGTCGAGCTGCAGCTGCTGAACGCCAAGCATCCCTGAGCTTACCTTCATCCCCTGGTACTTCTCGCAAGGAACGCGCCCAAGCAATATTGGCACGGAAAAGAGCAACACCACCATCTTCTCCAGCACAGAATCAACTTCCCAACCGATCTGCAGGACTCAGTTCATCGGCTCCTGGAACACCGTTGATGCGGCCTGCTCGACCCAGTTCTGTACCAATACCCATTGCTGCAGCCACTCGCAACCTGAAATTAGAGTTGGATTTGGAAGACGTAGCTTTGAGTGAAAGAGTTAGTATATTTAGACTAAAATTATCCTCTGGTCTTAAAGCCTTGAGGCGTGCAAAAGCTAGAGCAGTTAGAGCTAGAGTCAATGCTAGTACTGTTAGTGTTGATGTAATCAGTGAAAATAAAACAACACTGGAAGTTGAAGAGCTGAGTACTGCGGTCCCACGTGGTCGCACAACAAGGAGGTCAACTGGGGCAGTTCGAAGCTCTTCTCAAAGCACAAAAATCACCATATCTGAGGACGTTGTGAGACGATCAGTGTCATTGGACAACAAAAAAACTGAAAAACCTCGTGCTGATGTGAACTCCCTTGATGATTCTGAAACTGCTAAATCAGATACAGTAAAGGTCGCAAAAATGACTCGAAGCAAGAAAAGTAAGGAATCTGTAAATGTTTCAATTGATCCTTCCCCAAATCAAACTTCAGCCCAAGAAACGTATGCATTGGAACAGGACCTCCAAGACAGTATTTTGGATGATGATTTATCCAATAGTGTAAATAAAGAAACTTCTAATATTTTGGCAGCAATGAGAATTGCAATGATGGAAAGTGAAAAATCTATCTTGAATACCCAGACCACTGTAGAAGAAAAGGAAGATGTAATTAATCAGGTGTCTCGGAAACGGACTCGAAGTAAGACTTTTGCAGAAGTAGAAGACAAATCTAAGAAACCTGGCAAGAAAGTTAAAACAACTCCTCCACCTTCTTCACTCCCTCTTCCTCCTTCCCTTCCTCCTCCTCCTCCTCCTCCTCCTCCTCCTTCTCTTTCCCCTACACCTACTTCTTCTCCTCCCTTAAAAATATCTGAGGAACAGGACAATAAAGAAGTTGTTCGAGATTCTATTTCTTGTGAGACATGTGGTGCCACCTTTGTTTCTTTGTCTACACTAGGAAGGCACAAGAAAAAATGTTCAATTAACAGATCAGAACCAGATCAGTCAACAGAAACAACTGTTGATGCTAGTAATACAGCTGAAAGACAGCTTTGTCAGCATTGTGGAAAATATTTTCCTTATTCCCCAATGTTTTGGAAACATCTTAAAACTTGTCCCAATTCAATGTCTGAGTTAGTAAAAGACACTGATGATACGGGAGCAGAAAAAACAAAAATCACTAGTAAAATTCTTTCTAAGCGAACACCCAAGTCTAGTGTATCTACAAGCCCACAAATAGTAATTTCAAAAGAGGCAGTAGATGAAAATGTGGCAAGTCCAGGAGGAAGTGATGACGACAGAATGCCTGAGCTGGAGAAAGTGGAACCAATTGAAGTGGTTAAACGAATTACACGTTCTCGAAAGGAAGATCTTGCTGACATCCCCATCTTATCTCCAGTTATTAGTGATGTGGATCCTTCAGTACAGGAGCCTTCTGAATCTGATACAGTATCTTTGCCTTTGTTATCAGAAGCTGAAACACTACTTCCACCTCCTTTGTCAGAGACTATTGATGACGACCGAAAGGGAAGAAGGAGACAAAGGAAGGCAAGGGACAGTTGTATTGAGAAAGATCCTGCACCTTTTGTCTCAAACATAAAAGATGAGCCAGAAGTAGAATCTTCAGAAGGGGACCAAGTTGTGGAAAAGGTTTTGGGAAGAACTAGAAAGAGTTGGAGGCAGAATGAAACTCCAGCTACAATGTCCGAGTTGGAAGGAGCAAATGTTAAACCTTCTTCACCTACAAGAAAGCACAGAAGTAGATCAAGAACTGGCAAAGAGGAAGACAATTCACTTGTCACAAAGGTTGAAGAACAAGTTTCAGAAGTGAATTCTATTGAAGAAACTGAAGATGCACTCAAGGGACTTCCTTTTGACAATACTGAGACTAATGAAACAGGTGATTTTCTGGAAACTTCTTCAAAGTCATCTGTTTACAAAAGACCTGAAAGAAGAACCAAACAAAGGGTTTTGATCAAGGAAGAAGATACATCTCACAATGATTTGAATGAATCTAGTTTACCAGAAACACTTGAACCTGCTTTACCTGTAGAAAATAAAGAGCAGATGATACCACTTGCTTCAAATGCAGTGAATAAAAATAAGAAAAGGAACAAAAAGAAGAAAAAGAAAGATTTTAATCCATTTGACACAAATGTAGATCTTTCATCCTGCCCAGATTCTGTTATGGCAGTTCTGCATGTTGATCAGGTAAAGGAAGAATTCACCCAAGATGAGCGTCAGCTTGCTGTATCAGTGAAACACTCTGAAGTGCCTGCTAGTGAAGATCCATCATCCAATCTTGGGATACATTCAGATTCTGTAGAATCTATTGAAATTGTCAAACCTATTGTGAATTCTGTGAGCTCATCAGTGGTAAAATCAGTTGAAGTAAGTAACATTCACACAACAGACTTTATTGTAACAGAAGAAACAAAGAACAGCATCTCCCCAAACATTGCATCTGGGACAATTTTGAGTGAAACAGCAGCCACGGCTGTTGAGGACTTGCCCAACAAGAGAAGAAGAAACCAGACTCCTAAAGTGCAGGAAGATGCCACTCTTCCACCTGAAAAGGAATTTTCCTCCAGCCCAAGGAAATCACATAGGTCTATGCGGAGGCTTTCTCTCACCTCTCTTCCTTCTGATAGTGATTCTAGTCCTCATAAGAGGCGAAGGTTTCATTCAAACAACAAGCACGCACGCAGATCCAGTTTAAGAATTAAAATTTCAGACAAGGATTCTTCCTCAAAAAGTCCTTCTGAACCCCAGACTGAAATTTCACCATCGTCTGCTGATCTTGTGGATGGTTCCATAAGAGAATGTAATATGGCTTCGACCATTCAGGACTCAACAGAGATTATGAATTTGGAGGGAAATGAAAATGCATTAGAAAATGTTTTACAAAGTGCCTTAGATGCAAAGGAAGATTGTAACGTACAGGTGGAGGAACCTACAAATGAAGATTATTTTGCAATGGATGAAGAATCTTTGCCCATTGCGAAACTGAGAGATCCTGATTTTATGGTACTTTATCATTCCAGAAAAATGGAATCGAAGAAAGTAGAAACTACTGCAGGCCCTGCTTCTCAGAAAAATACAGAAGAATGTGAAACAATGGAAGCAGAAATTTCAAAAGTAGAAGCAGTTTTAGAATCCTCCAATTTGATTAATACTGAGAGTAGTACTTTGGAAGAAGAAAAAACCATACAGGAGTCAAATCCAATTGCAGATGTTATTGAGGAAACAAGTATACCACAGCAGACATTGTCCCCAAAGAGACATGATGAGTCATCGACACCTATGGCAAGAAGAGAGAGAAGTGTAAGAATAACCCGCTGGAATTTGTCCTATGAGGAAATGTACACATCTTCTGATGTTGCAAGTGAAACAGACAGTCAGGAATTTGATACTAGCATTGGAAAAGAACTTGCTGATGTACCAGATCAAGTGCTAGATAAACCGATGAAACAGAGTCATAAGAAGAATGGGCATTTACCTGTAAGGAAAGGCAAAAAGGCTCAAATAAGAAGAAAAAGTATAAAGATTCAGATGGCCAAGAATAAAAGACATACAAATAAAAGGAGGAAAACTGTCCAAAAGAAATCACCATCAGATGTTAAAGAAAATGCCAAATTACAAACTGAAGTTGCACCACACATTAATGTTTCCACTGACAAGATTGAAGGGTGTGTTCCAACAGGGGTACTGACTGAACAACATCAGACAGCATTATCCAATAGCGTAGGTAATGATACAGTAGCAGTTGCTGATAGTGCGGAAGTTTTTAAAGAAGACTTGGTGACAAATGTAAAGAAACGCAAAAGACGTCGGAGTACTGTTGGTGACAATGTTATTATAGAAGTAACTACAGGTAATAGCAATGTAAAACCAGACATTATTGACAATACTATTACAATTGATATGAAAGCTAATGTTGAAAATCAAGAAAACACTGGTACTGATGCTGGTAGTCAAGAAATGGAAACTTTTTCCTCTGGACCATGTCCAGAAATTCTATCTGAGCAAGAAATTGATGAACTTGAAAACAAAACCCCCCAAACATCTGAAACAGAAAATACCTTAAATCCAGACATTGGTGAACAGTCAACATCAGAAGTGATTGATTCTTCTAGAAGGAAGGAGAGACTCAGCAGCTCTGACTCACAAATGTTGAAATCTGTTCAGTTGAGATACCATTGTTCAATTTGCAACAAATATTACTCCACTAGCTACAATCTCCGAAAACATGCAACATCAACATATCACCTTGTAAAACTGAATGAGCTGAAAGAATCAGGAGAACTAGTGGAAACTGTTGAAGAATATAATTTAAAATCAATTACAGAATGGACAACTGTAAACAAGGAGGTATCTTGTGAAAGTGTGCTGAAAGTTGAGCATACATTGGATACTAGTAATGCTGGTATAAGAAAGAAGCCAAAGATTAAACGAAAACAATTGGAGGAAGCAATAAAAATCCTTCAGGAAAGTTCATCAGGTTCTGAGCATAATAACAATGGGTTAGGTATGGAGGTTGTTACAATGACAGGTTATTTAAAAGAGAATACTAGTTACGAGCCAAATCGACTTTCTGACCTCCCTTTGAAAAATGAAACTTCTGAGGGCAATTCATCTGGCAGCCGAAATGAAATTAGTTCTTCAGTGGGAGACAAAATCCTTGGTCCCAGTTCTTGGTCTCAAAATTCTTGTACTGTTTATGCTGAACAATCAACTGCCTCTTCAAGTTTCTCTGTTTCTGGAAACTACGAAAAACATCTTCTTTCAGGGGAGTTGGAGTTCTCTGCTTCAACATCTCCCGATCAGGCTAAGGAGCGTTATGTTTCCACAAAACAGAACTGGACGCCAGTAGAAGGTGTTCAAGAAAGTGCTCCACTGAATAGTAGCCACAACAACAGCTCATCTCTCCCAGATGGAGATGTGGCTTGGACGACTCAGAAATCACTTACTCGTGTGCCAACTGTTGTACCAGGGGTAACACTCGAAGAAGGATCTGTTGCGTCCACAATTGTAACAGAACCGGTACCTGCAACATCATCAGTGTTGGCACCCATACCAGCAACAGATTCTGGTGCACCGCCCTGGGGAGATGCAACTGCTGCGTGGCCCGCTGAGCCACAGCCAGGTGGGGAAGTGTGGTCGAGTGAGGAGGGCTCCTGGCATTGGCCACAAAATGTTCCAGACCTTATCCCTTCGGAGACATCTCAGTCATGGGGCCAAGAAGGATCCTTCTTCAGCCAATTGGAAGGAGGGGCAAGTCTTGGTTCCATCATGGACTCTGTTAATCAGGTGAGTTATTTGTAGCATATTTCACAAAAATGTGCATTTTTTAAAATAAGTACACTTTTAATGAAAATGTATTTCTGAAATTTGTGAATGGGAATTTCATAATCTATCGCTTATTACCTACAAATTGTTTTCAAAATTAATAACTAAAAATATTAATTTCGTTTCAAAAATACATTTTTCCCCAAAATTAGTTAATAATTTTAGAGGGGGAAAATGGCTAATAAAATAAATTTCTTTAATCAAAAATAATGACAAACTTTTATTGTGGGTGTTTCTTCCATGCATATCCCTTCTTCAATGTCAATGGATGCAAAGCTTCAACTGCTCTGTTCACAATGGTGTACATAACTGTTTGGGAAAATTAATCGGTCCAAAAAATACAATAATTATGTGATGGTTATTCAGTCCATATAGATCACAGTGAAAAAAATTTTTTTTCCACCCCCCCCCCCCCCCACCCCCTTGTATAATCAAATCATCTTAAGTCATGCAGGGGGAAATAATCTATACTCTTCTTTCTTCTAGTTCTATCACACTCAATGGAAAATAAAGAATAAGCAACTTCTGCAAGAGAATGATTTGCAAAATATTTTGTGTAAAAGAATAGTCTTTAATTTCCATTATGCCAAGAACATTCATGCTTCAGAATATTCAAACTGTATTGATGGAATAGAATTAGATTCTACTGCATACCATTTTGTTATATGTCAACGTATTTACTGCCATAATAAAAATGAAAGTAGATAAAATTGATTTGGTTCAAAATGTTCAGTCAAAAACACGATTATTCTATTCTACTCTACCGTTTAGTCACTGAACTTTTTATAGCATAAACTTTTCCTCTTGAGTTATACATTTCATTTATTTTCGTATTCCAACTGTTTATGAAAGTAGTATGACAAAAAATATCAAAAACCTTCTAAAATTTGATTTGTCAAATTAACTTTTACTTGAGTTGCTCTTATGTTAGAGGTTTGCCTTGGTTTGCCTTGTTAGTGGTGTAATGAAAACAATTTCCTATTGAAATAGGAGGAAGAAAAAAAAATTCCCTTTATAAGTCCCTTTAAGAAATCTTTTACAATGACGATTAATAGATTACAAATTTAAAATATATTTACAGTTCTTGTAATGAAGAATTCTGATCTTTTGTCTGGAGATCAAAATATATTCAGTGGAGAGGAAACCTCTATTAGCATAACTTTTGGTGTCATGGAAATTGAGAAAATACATAATGTACTCTGATGTTGTATTAAAATCAACAAAACTACATTATTTTAGTGTGCTTACCAGTTTTCAATCTATGTAAATCCTTTTCAGATCAATTAAGAATTTTAATTAGCCTTCTGAAATGAATGAGAATTGTGCTAATAAATGGTACATTGTAAAAATTAAAAGAACATATTCTTGATTCAAAAATTATCAATGATTTTCTTGGCATACATGTAGATGAGCAAATAAATTTTACCTATTGTACTTTTAATACAAATAAAACATTACATGAATTTAAATAAATAATTTAATTTTTATAGAAAAACACATTGTGATTTTCATGAACTCTAGGTTATTACGTTTCTCTTTCCTGCTGTCACTATGAAGTAATGTGTATATTTTCCTTTTCTTTTTCTGTCTGGTGAAGAACTGAACTGAAATTTCACCAGATCTCCAGTGATTTCACTCATCAGTAACTACAGTTCATTTGAATGAACGTTTTGAGAGGGTGTAGAAGTGTGTGTGCATTCGGGTGTATAATTTTTATGGCAATTTTAACAAGTATGGATTGTGTCTGAGTGGAAAGTTATTATTGGAGTGAATTTTGAACTGGCCACAAATCACAAGCAACAATGATCAAGATGATCCCTATTGGAGGTTGGTTCTTTTGCAAGTTTCTTAATTGCACTTTTTGTATAGTTATTTGTATTGTGTGGATTTCTATTAAAAAGAGCAATTAAGTTGGTTAATGTTGTCTTGCTTCCATCAGTCTTGGCTGACATCCTTCTGTGATTACTGAAGGTTCACTCTTTGCTACACATTATTATTAATTTGTTCTTGCACACTTGCAGACTTACCCTACACAACGTAAAATATTTATTGTGATTGCAATTTGCCTCGTACACTTGTTTGCCATTCCATTTCTTTATTCATTTTAATTCTAGATATCTGGAAATATGTCTTGCACACTTTTAGCCAACAATTCTTTCTTTCTTTTTTTGTCCGTATTTGCACAGAAAAAATGTTTTAAGTACTCATTTCATCATGTCACAATTTCTCACTCGTTCTAGAATATAATAATTATTGCTATTGGTTGTGGTCATTTTATGTGCATTTTCCATTGTATTTTTGCTACAAAGTATTCCAAATTACAAATGTTCTTGATTTATATTTAATAAATGTTTTGGTAGGGAGAAATGAATTCATGAGTTATAAAATTATTGTCCTTTATGAAATCTCTATCCTTCATATTTTTTAAAAGAAAAATATGATTTGACCATCATAACAATTATATACTAGTTGTTTTTAAACTTCATCATAAATGAGAAAAGAAACGGAGTTTGAATTCAAAGTGTGCTTGTTTCTTTGCTAACATCAAGAGATTGATGGCTGAAATATCAGTCAGCTGCCTCTATCCCTACCAAAGTAAAATAGTCACATCTTCCTAATGGATAGCTCTTATAAAAAAGATGATGTAAGTTTCGTATGATCAAATATCTCGGTGTAAAATCGTAATGCAAGGGTGCCTTCTTTCAAACTATCACTCATTAAATTGTTAAATATATATTGAGTTCCTAAAATAAACCACTTGTCAACCTGTTTCTGGTCCTTGGCAGTCCTGTCAGGAGGTTGATGAATGTGAAAGAAACAGAATAAATAATACCTCGTAATTTCGACATTATATGATTTTGAAAATAAAAACCGTTGTATTTTGTGGCCTTAATGATGCTTCATGACAGTCCATTGTTGGAGTATGGAAACAGAAGTTATTTGTTTTAATGTTTCATTGGAAATGAGCAGTTGCAGATTTTTTCATTGTGGGTTCATTGAGATTGTGCACTTTTTCTACTCAATGAATAACTGTATCATAATGGCACAAAACTATTTTGGAAACGAAGTAATAAGACTAATCGGGGAAGGGGGGCGGCAATCGATGAAAAATCAATTTTCTGCTATTCAGTCAAATAAAACTTACGAGAATGTAGTACAAAGTAAGTAACTTGCAAAAATGCCCAAACGCAGGCACCCGCACTTCTGCACTTTGTTCGTAGAAAAACAAACGAAAAATATCGAGTTTTCACGATTTTTTTCCCCTTTGCTTTCTTTTCTTCTCGTTCTTTTTTGCTCGGAGCTCCGCTGCTTGTAAATCTAAGATTGTGTCGTGTCTCGCAGATCCTGGACAGCCGCGTGGACGGCGAGGCGGCGCTGGCGCCCCTGCCCGCGCCGGCCGCCTTCCTGTGCGGAGCGGGCGGCGTGGGCGACGGCGAGCTGCGCGAGCTGCAGCGGGCCATGGGCGCCACGGACGAAGAGATGGCCATCCTGCGGCAGCTGGGCGAAGGCTGGCCCGC